CTTGCGTGTTCTATAAACTGGAATCTTCTGCTTGCCTTCCCCCATCCCAACATTACTCTTGCTTCGTCAAGATGTGGGGTGTCTTCTAGCCCCCTGGCCTGAATGAGAGAATCTAGGACTCTTGGGCTCACTGGGAATCTGGATGCAGAGATGAAAATTGTGAGAAAAAGGAAGAGCCCCTCCTCCTGAGAGGGCTCAAAGCCCTGAGGCCTGGCTCCGCCCACCCTGAAGTAGAGCACAGGCTCTCTGAACTGTGCCAGCGCACAGCCTAGAAGCTCTAGAAGGCTCCTCCTGACTCAGAAAGTGGAGGCGGGCCTTAGACTGCATCCTTAAAGGGCCTTAATGCCCATGATGTTGAGAGCTTGCTTTGTGTGGCCAGAGCATAGGACCCGCCGTCATTGACTCATACTCGGGGTCTGTGAAATGACATTGGGAGCTTGTGTGTTTAGATTTGACAAAAAGAAGAGGAAATAGTATCAGGAACTGAGCCTGAGGGATGTGGGTCTGTCATTGCAGGGACTCAGGAGGCAGAGGCTGGAGAGTTGCAGGTGTCAGGCTTGCCTGGGCTGCAGAGTGACTTTGAGGCCAGCCTGGGTGACTGTGCAAGACAAGACCCTGTCTTGAGATAAAAAGTAAGAAGAGGGTTGAGATTATGGCTTGTTAGAATGCCTGAGACCTAGGGTTCTCTCCCCAGCATTGTCAGAACTGATAAATAGAACACAATGAAGTTGCAAAGAAGAAATGGAGTTTCTCTTTCGCTCATCTGCATGCCAAGCCATCCTTTCAGATCTCGGGGATTCTGAGTTCTGAAACCCAGGCAATAGGAACCTTGCTGACACAGCAGTACCTAAACATGGTGCCAGCTGCTGCAAAGGCAGTTTCACGGCAGCCATCTGGGGACAGGAAGCCAAGGAATGCCAGAGGGAGATAGTGGCTCCACGAAGAAGCAGCCACCCAGGCTGGGAAGGCTGACTGAGAGAGAACGCGAGTCTCATTCAAATTGCCAGCGCCAGCAAGGGCTTGGCCTTGCTTTCTGTGTGTGCAAATATTGGCTCTTGTTTTCCAGGCTGCAGGGTGAGACAGAGGGGAGTCTTTGCAGTGCTTTGTTCTGGGTCCGGTGACTGGCGCTGAGAGGCAAGACGCCAGTCACGGATGGGCTGTGAGTCGCTTTTGTTGTCTTCCTGAATTGCTGTTTGCAGCTGGGCACTGAGACTGATACCAAACAGAAAAGGCCTGACCGTCCCTCCTTCCTGAGATGCCTCTTCCTCCATTTCCTGTCTCCTCCTTTACCTTTCCACCTAGAAAATGGATTTAGGCTTCAGTGCCTTCCAGCCTTCTAAGGGGTGGTTTGATGGCACCTCCAGAATACCTTATCCAGTGGCCTGTCATCCCATCACTTGGGAGGCTGAGACAGGAGGCTCCCAGTTCAAGGCTAGAGATTGAGACCCTGGCTCAAAAAACCCAAGCAAACTGCCAAACAGATCTAGACGCAAAGCGGAGACCAAGCCAGTCAGCTTCTCAGAGGGAAGCACTGAGAGGGTCCAAGCTCTCCCAGCCTGTAACTGGAGGCACACTGTTCTTGAGGACACACGTGACACATCTGGCTTTGCAGATAGCAGCCATACATGCTACGCCACTCCCCGCAGTGTCCCGGACAGTGCTCACTCAGGCACTGAGTCAGGCTGGGAACCCATTCTCCCTATCCTCAGGGTGCTGTGGTTGCACATCTAAAATCCACTTGTTCACTCTCAGCCATCCAGCTTCAAGATTGCTAGCTCCATTCCCAAGCTGTTGAACTAGGGTTGCTTCTGAGGGACTGAGCCAGAGAACTCGGACTCTTCTCTGTGAACTAGTCTGTGTGTCAAGACAGAGCAACAGCGTTGGTGCTCCCAAGGGACCTAACAGACAGTTCCTGGGGTGAGGGAGATGGGCAAAGGGAAAGGGTGCGTCCCTTCTCTCAAATATTGTTATATCATCAGATTCCCTTTTCTCCCCGCAAGATGCCTGCTCTGTCTACTTTTATAAAAGATTCATTTTGGTTATGAGGCTTAGCCTTTAATGGGTATGCTGAGCCATCTCTCCAGCCCACAAAAGACTCTCTGTGTGTGTGTGTGTGTGTGTGTGTGTGTGTGTGTGTGTGTGTGTATGTGTGTGTGTGTGTGCGCGCGCGCGCATGCTTAAGACAGAGAGAGAGAGAGAGAGAGAGAGAGAGCAGTGCCCATGGAGATCAGAAGGTGTCAGATTCAGGCCTGAACTTGAGTCCTCTACACTCTTATCTGCTGAACCGTGTCTCTAGAATCCCACTCCCACCCCAAGACTGAATTTCTCTTGTAGCCCTCACTGGCCTGGAACTGGTTATATAGACCTGGCTGGCCTCAAAATCACAGAGATCTGTCTGCCTTTGCCTCCTAAATATCTAAGATGTTTTCAAGTGACTAATGCCCTGAAATTCAGTACAGTCAGGGTGTCGTACACCTGTGCATCTAGTTCCCTCACGTGAAGCCCTCGCTCTCCCCTCCTGCAGCCCCCAGCTTCCAGGAAGCTACCTTGAAGATCTGCTGATGCTGTGTGTTCCGTACACGGTGGCCATGAGCCCCTTTGTGCCTTGCTCGTTCGGCTCGCCTCATGGTCCCAAGCTGTGTTCGTGGATCAGGGCATCGCTCTTTGGGGCTGTGGAGTAGTCCACACAGGACAGAGACAACCTCCTTACTCTTACCTGCTTGTTTAGAAATGCCCAATTAGGCGTCTTCCACTCTTGGGCAGGTCGAGACCATTCTGCCACTTAGCAGTGTTTGTCTGGCTTCTGATTTTCTAATTCTTTGGGCTCTGTTCCTTAGAGTAAAATCCCAGTGTGGGATGGTAATTCCATATTTAACCTTCCTAGGAAGCACCAGGATAATCAAGGCCACATAGCTCCATGCTCCCTGAGCTGTGCACAGGATTCCAGAGCCCCCAGCCCCCAGCACTTGGCTCTCTCTAGCTTTGTTTCACTCCACTGTGTGGGACTGAGAACTGATCCTGCCCTGTGGTGCTTTCAAGAAATCTTCAGGAGAGGGGTCATGCATGCACGGTGCACGTTTTTTGGGTGTGTATGTGTGCGCATGTACTCGTGCACATACACATGTGCACAGTTCATGGATGGAGGTCAGAAAACAGCTTTCAGGAGTCATTTCTCTCATATCACGTTTGTCCCAGGATCCAGCTCAGGTGGCCAGTACTGTTGCTATACCTTTACCCACCGAGCCGTCTTGTTGGCCCATGTCCATTTTTCTTTTGTTATTTATGCTTTGGGTGTCACAGTAGACTTTTTTTTTTTAAATTCATTTATTATGCATTCAATATCTGCCTACACGTGTGCCTGCAGGCCAGAGAGGGCACCAGATCTCATTACAGATGGTTGTGAGCCACCATATGGTTGCTGGGAATTGAACTCAAGACCTTTGGAAGAGCAGGCAATGCTCTTAACCACTGAGCCATCTCTCCAGCCCCCAACGATAATTTTTTTTATGTGTGTGAGTGTATGTACATGTTTGTGTAGGTGTATGCATGTATGGATAGGTGTGTCTGCACGTGTGTGGGTATATACATGCATTAGTAGGTGTGTTTGCACATGTGTGAGTGTGTGTATGCAGAAATCAGAGGTCATCGAGGTCAGCGTCAGGCATCTTTTTCACTTCCTCTGCACCTAAGTTTTGAGACAGAGTATCAATAAACCTAGAGTTGCCCGTTTCAGCTAATTGCTGGCAATCCTTGGGATCCACTTTCCCTCCCCAGTGCCTGGGTTTCAGATGTCCACCAATGTACCCATTTTCCTGTGGTTGCTGGGGCTTCATCTGGGTTCCCTATGCTTGCATAGCAGGCGTTTTACAGAGTGCGCAGTCTTCCCTCCCCCTGACCAGTGTGTTTCACCTCGTTCCTGCCTGCTCTCCACAGCACTCGCTGTCTTACTACAGGCCTGACCGTTGTCATCCTTCCATACGCACACTGGGCCAGTTCCTGGACCCCAGGAATACCAAAATCTGCAGACGTTCAAGCCCTGCCTACCAGGCTTGCACACCTCCTCCCAGAGAGGCCAGCTCATCTCTAGGTGACCTGAGGGCCTAACATGGAGGCACGTCCCTCATTAGTTGCTGCAGCGTGTTGTTTAGGGTCCGTCCGTAAGTGCTCAGCCTGGCACATTTGTCTTCCTCTGAATACTTTTAACCTCCAGGCAGTTGGATTCGTGGATGCTGGCACACGCATGTGGAGGGCCCTGCTCTCTGCGCCGTGGTTCTGTCTGGTGTGCTCCGTGTGCTGGAGTCACTTCACATACCCGCTTCTCCCTGAGTCCGGGGGTTTTGCTCTCATCTGTCCTTGGCCCCGCAGTGGTTGGTGGGAATGCCGTGTGCCCCATAGCCAATGCAGAGCTGCAGCATTTGCAGTGATTACACTGCAGGGGTGGAGACAGACCTGTCCAAGGGGTGGAAAGAGTGAGAGACCTGGAGAACAGGCTGGGGCACTCTTGAACTCAGAGCAGCTGTGATTGCCTGCACAAGATTGTGTCGGCACCTTGTCATGGAGGAAAGAGGGCCTCTCAGGGCCCCATCCTTCCCTGAGGATTTATATGCAGTTAGCGGGGCGACATTTTCTGCAGGGGCGTAGTTGCTGCCTGTGAGCAACCCTAAGTGTGGTGAGCCAGAGAGAGGGCAGAGGGAAGAAACCAGGAGAGGGACTAGGAGAGAAGGGGTCAGCGAGGGGAGGAGGCTCGAATGTGACCCTCATGTGTATCTAGTACATGCTAATAGAAACGTTTTATAAGTCACAGAACTGGGAACTGCAGGGGTGCCTCCCCCAGACAGATGAGGCAGGTGAGTGTGTGTGTCGCTGGGGTAGGGAGGTGAAGGGCTGAGGGGATGAGGGGATGAGGGGTGAGCTAGGGGTGTTGGACTGGGTTGCCGGGAAAGGACAGGATGCTAAGCACAAATCCACTGGTGTTCTGCTCCTTAACCTCCACACTCCCTTCGAGTACATGATCCTGGCCACCATCATTGCCAACTGCATCGTCCTGGCCCTGGAGCAGCACCTCCCAGATGACGACAAGACACCCATGTCTGAGCGGCTGGTGAGCAGTGGGGTGGAGGGGTTCTGGGTGCCTGAGCTGAGAGCTGTGTGGACAAGGCCTGCCTTGCAACGTCACCAGTGACCTGGGGGCCCAGAAGCCCTCACTGCCCGGCCCCACCCTTGAAGCCCAGCAGACCTGGTGTCCACCAGGGCACAGTGGCCATCACACTATCCAGGAAGACATCATGCTCGGTCCAAACTCTACTTTCTCTTTCATGCTCAGAAACAAAATCGTTTATGAAAAAAAAAAAAACGAAATACGGGTATACATAAATATAGAACAGAGCAGTTAACCACTGCGAACCCACGCCTCAGATTCAGTCAGTGAGGCCCCGCTGGCAGCTCTTCCTCAGCCTTTCTTTCCCTCCGTGCTCATCTTCCTCAGCAGAAGTAGGCCACGTCCAGGTCGGCAGCCGCATCCTTGCGTCTGCATAGCTAGAAGTGCAGCTGCCTCGTGTTGCCACGGTAATGCCTCACAGCCAGTCTGTGCCCAGAGTTCATTGCTCAGTTACGTCATTTGGGGGTTGTTTGGTTCTACCAGGAGTCAACACAGACCGTATTTATTTGTTGCCTGTTTGCTGTGTTGCTATACTAAGGAGGAACACAAAGCCTCGCGCATGCTCTGCTGGCTTCTCTGACACTGAGCCATGGCCTAGCCCCTTAGTAGGGGATTCCAGGCAAAAGCTCTGCTCCTGGGCCACACTGTCAGCTTCTCGCTGGTGGACCCTAGACAGGTTCTGCTGCTGGGCCATGCCCTCTTGGCATTCATAACCTCAACCAAGGCAACATCCATATGTTCAGGGTTCCTAGCCCAGGAATGGGTTGTTCTTAGCGTTCTGTCGCTGTGGCACGGTATCTGAGGCAGCTCAACCCCCAGTGTGTGTTCCTTTGGCTTAGATCCAGAGGTCTCGGCCCTTGGTCACTTGGCCTGTTGGGAGGGTTTGCTGCCTTGGGGTCACGCCACCCTCCACCACCCATCCATTGACACTGCCTTCTCCCTTCCAGGATGACACAGAACCATACTTCATCGGAATCTTCTGTTTCGAGGCTGGAATTAAGATCGTGGCTCTCGGCTTTGCCTTCCACAAAGGCTCCTACCTGAGAAACGGCTGGAACGTCATGGACTTTGTCGTGGTGCTAACAGGGTAGGCGACTGCGCCCCATTCTATAGCACATATGTTTCCCGAGGCTTGTCAAGGCCTGGTTAGTATTATGGTATGTGTGCCCCAGGCTGGGCTTGGAAACCTGTGCCCAGTGTTCTCCCCGCCACCTCTGTGTCTATTGGAGCTAAAACAAAGACCTGTTGTAGGGGCAGTTTCTGCTGTGCCTCATGCATGTGATTGTGTGGTCCTCAGCATACCCAGTGGGGCAGGAGACGTTCCCATTCCCAGCCCACCACGGGGGAAGGAAAATATCCTCCAGCTGCTCAGTAGCAGGGCTGGGCCTTAAACCGGCCAACCACGGTGTCTGAGAGCTCCTCCTCATGAGTGGATCTCGTGCTTTGCTTGGAGATGTGGTGCCTTTGTTCCATGGTGGTGACTGTGTGCTGAGGGTTTCTGGCCACATGAACTGGTTTGAACTTTGGCAGGTTTTGCTCATGTCTTTAAGGAATTTTCAGATGTGGGTCCAAGGAACGAACTGTGTCTGAAAAGCAAATGTCTGTACACTTCTCACACTGGTTGCTACAACAGATGGTTCCAAACTAAGAATGACTTCTACTTAATGGAAGTTTGTCAGTCACTGAAAGCCAAAAATGATGCTTTCTAGTTGTCACTCTCGTCTCCTTAAATGATTGACAGCCTAGAGCCCTTGCTGTATTGTGGCTCTTTACTGTCAAACTGCAGTTTTCTGAAATTCTGCATCTGTTAACAATAAACCAGATGGTAAATGATATGGGGATACTGGGATAGTTTGTGGGGCTAGAAAGGGCTTGGACCTTGTCTCCTCGTTTATATTCCAGTGGAAGGGGCTGCGGTAGAGTTCTTGCCTTCCATGAAGTCCTGGGTTTGATCTCCAACAGTACAGGAAAAAATGTTGGCTAGAAGTCACTCATGGAGGCTGGGAAGCCAGAGTTTGTGCTTAGGAGCAAATAGAGATGAATTGGGGAGTGTTCTTTTCATTCTGTTGCTGTGATAAACTGGCCAAAAGCACCTTAGAGGAGGAAGATATTTAACTGATGCTTCCAGGCCATAGTTCATCACTAAGGGATATCAAAGCAGGAACTTGAAGCAGAAACCATGGAGGAACACTGCTTGCAGGCTCCCTCTCTGACTCTTGCTCAGCTGACTCTTTCATACAACTCAGGATCACCTGCCCAGGGAACACACAGCCCTCCTACATCAGTCGACAATCAAGGCCATGTCACAAAGGCTTGACTGTGGACCAGTCCAACCCAAGCAGTCCCTCAACTGAGACTCCCTCAGGCGTTGGCAGTGGAGACTAACTAGGACAGGGACTATGTAGCTAGTCTTTGTAGAGACTCCAAGGACCCTTGTTAGAGCCCAGAGTGGATCTGGTAGTCTTGTACTGTCTGGGGGAGGGGCTCCCTCTCTGCCTTTGCTCTGCTCGCCTCTGGGTCACTCAGATCCGAGTCCCCTCTTCCCTGGACACCTTCTTCTCCTCCCTTTCCTTTGGGCATGTTGTCCTTCCTAGTGGCTCCCACAGCCAACCCAGGTCCTGTTGCTTTTGGTGGATGTCACACATCTTAATCCCTTTCCTTGCCATTATAACAACATGTCTGACATACCCAGCTCGAAGCCTTGTTTTGGCTGGTGGGAGTAAGGCTCCATTCCATGTTTGCTTGTGCTCTTGGGAGAACACTGCCCTGGTGGGAGCTAGCGGTGAAGGCCTCTCTTTGCTCTCCACAGTGTGGAAGAGACAGGTGGAGACAGGGTTAAGGGATGGCCCTAGAGTCCCCCTTTCCCCAGAGAGTTCCCATCTTCGGATAATACCAGCACATTTAAAATCCATCAGAATGACTCTATTGGTTAGGACAGAGTTCACCTCTGGTTGTCTCTGTAAACACCCGGAAAGATGCGCCTGTTTCTGCATGTAGGTGTGACAGTGTATGGGTGTGTGTGAGTGTGTGTTTGTGTGTGCCAGTGTATACGTTAAATGTACATAGGTATGAGTGTAGAGGTGTCTGTGTAGGTACAGGTTATGTGAGTGTGAATGGGTGTGTTTGTGGGTATGTGTTTTGGTATGTGTAGGTGTGTGGATGTGTGGTGCAAATTTGTACCTTTGTAGGTGCGCATGTGGGTGTGTGTGGTTGTGTGTAGCTATGAGTGTGTGTTCCTGCACCTCTGTGCACAGGGGTGTGAGACCAGGGGCCAACCTCCGGTGTGATTCCTCAGGCGGTGCCCACCTTGTTTTCTGAGAGTCTCCCTGGCCTAAAGCTATTCAAGTCAACTAGACTAGCTATCCAGGGAGTCCCAGGTAGCCTGCTGTCTCTGTCTCCAGCACTGGGGTTGCAACCATGTCCATATTTTATAGGGGTTGTAGGAATCTGAACTCAGGTCTTCGCCGTGCAAGAATCGCTTTACTAATGAGACCATTCCGAAACCAGGCCTCCCAGACGTGCTTTAGTGGATCCAATCTCAGAATTGATCACCCATCCTGAGCTAGCTGGGCTCATGCCCCTCAGATCTAGAACACGTTTACCACCATCCCTGCCATCTTACTTGTGTTTCAAGTCCTGTCTCTCCTTAGAGGCGTTCTTGCATGAGTCTGTATCTGGTGCAGTTGGCGTGTTGTGGGGGTCCTGGGCAGGATTGCATAGTCCTTGTGTTTGTGGGGGGCATGCTGGTCATCATGTCGAGTCTTGTGACTTGCGACTTGACATGGAATCAGGCAGTTTTCTCTTCTCTTGCAGCAGGCCAACTGTGTTATAAAAGTGTATGGTAGGGGCTGGGGAGATGGTTTGGTACTTAAGAGCACCTACTGCACTTATAGAAGATTCATGCTTGGTTACAGGCATCCATATCAGGTGAATGTTTGTATCCACCACCACCACCCCTTTTTTAGCAGAGCAGTTTACGTTTGTGTGTGCATGTGTATAGTCTATGTGTTTGTGTGTGTGTGTGTGTGTGTAATTGTATCATGTATGTGTGTGTGGTGTGCTGGTGTGTGTGTGTGTGTGGTGTGCAGTGTGAGTGAGCATCTTTGGTCCATAGTCCTTGACTCTGTGTGCATGTGTGTATGCACATGTGTCATTGATCTGAATTGCCTTATGACTTGGGGGGACCTACCCACTGCCCATCCCTGACTACTCCTCCTCCCACACTCTGTACCTCCTCACCCTCTTCTCCTTTCCTTCCTGTGCAGCCTCTCTCCCTTGTTTATCTGGTCAGCCATTCTTCCCTGTTGTCTGGTAACAATGTTTACCTCAGGCCTAGTGCTCACATCTGTCCCTGGGCTGCTGGTCTCTGACTGCTGAGCTGCCCTAGAGTGATCCTGCAGAGCCAGCCCCCTACCCATCAGCAATGGTGATCTGTGCCTTGGGGGCAATGGGACGAGGGCGTTTATTGGGCACTGAGACAAGTGGGGCTTTAATGAGCATTTGCTGATTAGCTAGCTGGCTGTCTTCCATTCCCGAGCGGTCTGCAGCTCTGTCAGCGTTTGTATCTTGTGGACTGCCAGGGCCTTTTGCCTTTGTCTTGTGTGAGATTTAATGGGAAATAGCTTCACTGTGGATTTGTTGGGTTTGTAGGGTGGAAAGCGTTGTTTTTTTTTTTTTTCTCTTTGAAAAGGGAGAGAGGAAAAAAGGCCTTGGAGAAATTCTGGTTTTGTGACTTCTGTCAGTTTATTTTTAAGTATACTTTCATTATATTTAAAATTCTGAGGATTAAAACGTGTGAGATGGACATTTAGGAAATGTGAAACGGGGGGGGTTGTTCTGAGATGACGGGGTTCATACTGTGATGTTCAGGGAGACAAATGATGTAGACAGATGATAGGCGGATGGATGGATGGATGGATGGGTGGATGGATGGATAGATGGAGGTGGATGGGTAGGTATGTGGAGGTGAATGAGTAAATGGATGATGGACGGATGGGTGGATGGATGGAAGAGTAGATGGGTGGATAGACAGATGCAGCAAATCACAGATAGGATAGCCAGGGAATCGGTGGATAGAATGTAGGTTGTTAGATAGAAAAGTAACTGATTGACAAACAGATGGGATATAGCATATGAGATAGACAAAGGCAGGTATTTAGGTATAAGTTTACGTGTGTGTGTGTGTGTGTGTGTGTGTGTGTGCACGCGCATGTGCGTGTGTTACAAATACATGCGGAGGCCAGAGGTTGATGTCTGACGTCTTCCCCAATCACCTGGCACCTTTATTTTATGAGACAAGGTTTTTCACAGAACCTAGAGCTCACTGACCCACCACTCTCTGGGATCAGAGGCATACGGTGCCAAGGCCCAGCTTTTACATGGTTGCTTGGGATTCAGACTCAGGTCCTCACACTTGTGCAGCAGGTACTCCACCCACCGAGCCATCTCCCTAGTCCCCAGGTAAGTTATTAGATAAATGACTGAGATGCAGATTGAGAATAGATCCATGATTGACAGATTGCTGGGACAACAGGGCAGTACACAATAGATGACAACCTGGTGGCTGTTATCCCTGGGCCCCATATGGTAGGAAGAGAGTGGACTGCTCTAAGCTCTCTTCCAACCTTCTCTCTCTCTCTCTCTCTCTCACACACACACACACACACACACACACACACACACATACACACACGAATAAACAAACAAATGGATAAGTTTTAAAGAAAAAAGACAGGACCACAGACTTTAGCGGTAGAGATAGACAGTGCATGGTAGCCAAGGGCCTAGCAGCAAGTCTCACACAGGTAGGTGGTCGGTGAGATAAGCAATTATGCATTTGGAACTTGATGATACTTTTGACCACCAAACATTGTAGAGCACAGTTCAGGACTAGGCTGCCATCAGCTGACAGAGACAGATCGTGTAGTGTTGGGCTCAATCTCAGTGGACTTTAGGCAATGCATCATAGCATGCGGGGCAGTGGCTCAGCATCCCACAGGGAGGGGCTGGGAGCATGACTCAGTGAGTGCTAGGTAAATCACTTGTCAATTGTAAGCAAAGCCTTGGTTTTTCAATCCCTGTGCTTGG